CAATCAATCAAGCAGGTGAAGAAGAAGACATAAACAGGCTGAAGGTTAACGGCAGCAAAATAAAATAAGCCAGAGGCAAAGTATCCCCCAAACCAGAGAAGCCTCAGGGGCATGCACAGCTGGAGAGAGCAAGCCAGAGAGGGGTCTCGGCACTGCCTCACCTTCCACTTGTGCAATGGGGGAGCGCTACCCCACTGGAATGGTTAAGGTTGGACACCAGCACCTTCAGAATGTCCTGAATCTACAGGAGGTGACAAGGGGAAAACAAGGGCAGGGGGAGAAAGACAGAAGTGGCTTAGAGAGAAGCAAGAAAGTCAGGGTAGGAGGAAGATGTGGGTTCAGGAAAAAGAAATGCTGAGGAAGAGCAGAGGAGATTAAAACCATGGCCTGTGCCATTCTTCCAAATGGCCACCTGCTGCCTTGCCAGGGGCAGGAACAAATAGATGGAAAAGTCCGCTGAGCGATGCAGTCAGAGTGGAGTCACCTGACCAATGCAGCTCTTAACACACTCACTGGACCCCTCTCCTCAGGCCCAGGATGTGGGCGATGAATCTGGTAATGCTCCAGACCTCCACCTCCATTAATAAAACCAGACTTCTGAGTAAAGGTTCACTTGAACTAAGTGGGCTCCAGCTAAAAAACAACTTTGAAAGACACTGATCTTATCCAGTATCATCTTACAGAGGAGGAAACTGAGGCCCAGGAGAAGAAGTGATTTTTCTGTGGTCATCCAGCAAGCTGGTGGCAAGTTAGATCTTCTCTTACTCCTAGTGCCTGGGGCTTTCCTCGCCACACACTGGAGCCCCCTTCGGTGACTCCTAAAGGGACAGCCTGATGGCAAGTGACTGTGCTCATTGGCCCAGGTTCCCCTTGAGACTGGGGATGAGGAAAATCAAACAGCAATGACCATTTCCTGGGTGTCCTGGGTGTTTACGGCAGGCCATGTACTAAGGATTAACATAAAAACAATAAGAAATCTCATTTAAACTTCACAAATGGAAGTCAAACAATACTACCCCTATTTTACAGATGTGAAAAGAGAGTCCCAAAGAGCTCAAGCAATTTGCCATAAATCAGATTCTTAGCAGATGGAGAGGGAGGATTCAAATCCAAAATTCTTAACCAGTACCCAACAATCTCAACAATTACCCTCTACTGCCCCTTGGGCCCCCTGTCCCCAGGAGACTGGCCAGCCAAGACTCACATCCCCAGGTGAGTGGCAACCACCAGAAGTGGTTGTCTCAGGGCTACTGCCAGTTTTTTTCTTTTTTGTCTTCGCTCCTGCCAGAACACCAGGGCTGTTCCTCTGCTGATATTCTTTTAGCTGTGGGAAAGAAGAGCAGTAATACTTATGAGGACTACCAGCCCCTACGGCCACATCCTCCTTTACAGTTTTTACAAAATACTCCTATACACCATCTGATTTAATGTCACCAACAACTGTACAAGGTGTTGTCACAATAACTTAGTGACTGAGAGGGATTGATATTATGGCTAAAAAAAAAGTCGGGGGGTGGCAATAATGGAACTTAAATTCAGTCTTCTGACTGCAAGCTCTGGGATTTTGCCATGATTCAGCAGCTTCCAGGGACCAAAACCAGAAGCAGAGGTAGAAAAGTAAACATTAAGTAGGCAGGAACTGTACGCTATGTGGTTTAGTCATACATCCTCACACATCTGTTAGTGTGAAGAAGTGCACCAGTACCTCTCAAACTTTATGTCAATGTGTCCTCATGGCAGAAGGCAGCTTTTTTGTTAAATCTGGGAATTTATCAGAAAGAGGACAACCCAGGCCTCATTTCAGAGAGAAGTCTGGTATACTCTTAGAAACGTATGTGATAGTCATCCCTAAGTACATTAATGTTTTTTCTCCCTCAAGAGAATCAAGGGAAACTGATGCTTCAGAAAGATCTCCCACATTTATCCTGTGGCACTCAAAGTACCCAGGTTGAGACGATATGAGGAAGATTCAAGCTGTCAAGTTCAGTTTCCCAAGATCTATTCCACAGAAAGATGAGCAAATCTCACTTCAGAGATCACTAACTGAAGGGCAGTCTGGTCCCAGAACCATGGAGAAAGAATATGAGGTGGAGAACTCAGAAAGTAATGTTAAAGTCTCCCTGGAGAGTAGAAGCCTGGGAGAAAACCAACCCAAACCTGTTCTCCCATTGCCGCCCAGAGACACTGTCAACGTTTTGAGCTCATGGGTGAAGTGTAGGCTTTTCACATTGTCAATGTCTATGTGAAGGGAGTAAGGCAGCCTGAAACCTGTTGCTCCTAGGTCCTGTAGTCCCCATTCCCCTTCCAGCTGGAAATTTGTGCTGCAACCAGAGCGTAAGATCAAAGGCCGGTCTTGCAGCAGTAATGACAGTTCCTAGGGGGACTGTGACATCACTACATTCCACTCCTCCTAGGGTAGGGGGAACCACATCAGTGCAATGGCTGAGTCGCTGATCAATGATGGGGGAGGGGGAC